TACTAAACAACTAAGTAAAGGTGTCACCGCCACAATCACCCTTCACGGTGATTGCACAGGCTACGGATAAAACAAACTAATCATTAAACTCTCGCTAACATTCAAACAACTAGGGGATAAGACCCCGGTGTCCAGCACCATCAAAAGGTTAAGTAATATCTAAACATCAAAGTATACAAGATTCTACACTAGAATCTAACATCTGCAAATCTACGCACTAAACTAACTCGTGCGCGCTTAAACACTAGGCCCACCTGAAAGGGGTTAACAAACAACAAGTACAAAAAAAACCCGTTAGCACAAAGCTAAGTATAACTGTAGCACCTCGTGTTACGGCCTCCGTACCCGGACTAAATATGAAATTAATTCCATTAATATATAATTAAAAGGGATTTAATCAGACTAGAATTCCCATTAATTAATTAGTATGGTCCACAATGGATCATGGACCCTTATCCCTAACCAAGTCCTTAATTCTACTAGGAATAGGAAAGATGGGCCTTTACTATTCAGATTCTAGTTAGGGCTCCTGAATCTATATATAGGGGATTATAGAGCATTTAGAAACCTACCGCAATTAATTCTGCCACGCGAGGTATTCCCCGAGGAAGCCTAGCAAAGGAATTCCCCACCAACGAACTTAGATGAATCCATCAAAGAGAGAGAGAGAGAGAGAGAGAGAGAGAGAGAGAGATCTTAGAGAAAAACCTTAGTAGCCAAGGATATTGATTAAGGCTAAGAGGTAAACCATGTCTTACAAAACCTATTTTCCTCGCTATATCTTATTCATTGGGTCTTTGATAATTGTATGTGTAATTCTGTAATTGAGTCTTGTTAGAGCCTTGCCTAGGGTTTATATTGTGTTTATTTGATAATCTTGATGTTCTTGATATTGTGATTGATTATATGTATGATCTGGTATTTTAATTATGTCTAGAGCTCGTCCCTAGGGTTTGTATCGTGAATCTCGTTGTTGTGATGTTCTTGGTATATTTGGGTGGGATTATGCATGATTGGGCGTTGAGTCTAGCCTAGGATTTATGTTTAGGACTTTGCATATAGTTTTCTTGATGTTCTTGAGGTTTCGGATGCTCCTGAACTGTTATTTAATTGATGTTGAGTCTTGGCGTGCTTAGGAATCGTGTTAGAATGTATTTGGAATGATTCTTGGTTTAATTCCCGTTAATTGAATCCGTGGTATTGTTGTTGTGTGTTGGAATGTGTCTGGACATGGTTTTGGGTTCGAAGAGAGATCCCGGGACCGAAAAGTTGCATGTGTATCAGTGGGGGTGGGTTGGGGGATGAACACCCGCCACTTACTCGTTGCCCGTTGCCCTATTTCCAGCGGGCGGGCAGTCTCTTTTAAATGAAAGCCAAGTTAATTAGTTCAAACAACTTAAAATTCTCTTACTCCACACCTCGGATTAATTAAGGGATTAAATTCGTGCCTTCTACAATCTACGATTCCCAAAACCAAGCACTCGGTGAAACCGAAGGGTACGACTAGAAAGCCTAATCCGAACGCTTGCTACCCTGGGACGAACGAACACTAAAGGGACTAATATAACCAATAAGAATTAAACCCTACACCTCCCCACTTACAAGACCAAGTTCCTAACCACTAAGACACAAGTGTTTCTTGAAATCTCAAGGGAACACAACCTTCTTAATCCCCTCCAAATCCCTAAAACCCACAAAATCCCCAAATCAAAAACCCTTATTCTTCTTCTTCCTCCCACTTTCTACCTCTCCCTCTCCCTTTCTCTCTCGACAAACGCCGCAGCCCACCACCAAGGCCCCAGCCACCTGCCGTCGCGCCACCATCGACAACCCAGCAACCGCCGGCCAACGCCTGTCGGAGACCCGCTGCCTCCGTTCCCCACCGCATCGCCGGCCACCTGGACAGAACGCCGCCACCACCGCCGTATCGCGCCAACCACGAAGACACCGCCCTTCATCGCAGCTGCAAACTGACGCCACGCCACCGCCGCCTCACCAACCGGCGTGATATCGGAACCCCACCATCGACGCCGCAACGCACCACCGCCAAGCTCGTCGGAAAAGCCTCACCGGAAAACCCAAACCTGCACCGTTGCTGCCCCCTAAAATCCTACGATGTCGAAGAAGTCCACCAATGCCCGAGTCCCAGAGTGGAACAGTGCCGACTACATGGTGTTGGGAGGTAAAGCACTTGAACCCGACCAATTCTCTCTGGAGTTGGTTGATATGCTTAAATTTCAAGGCCTTTTGGATACTTACCTCATGATAAAAAGGGATACATACCCCGAGCTGGTAAAGGAATTCTATTGCAACTTGGTAGCTGCCAAACACGGGGACAAATTAGAGATCACCTCCAAAGTCCGGGGCAAGGAAATAGTGCTAACCGAGGCCCGTCTGGCCAAGCTCCTGAAATTGACCTCCACGGGTGTGTCAGATTATGACCGAAAGGCATGGGTTAATACTCGAGACGTGGGGTACGAGGATTACCTTTGTTATTTGCTGGGGAGAGAAGGCAATTTCACTTCGGCCACGAGGCCAATTAAGAAACTGTTAACCGCCGAGCAAAAAACTGCTAGTCAAGATTGTGTCTGACAGCTTGTTGCCCACTAACAACAAGAGCAAGGATGTGGGAAACTTGGAATGCACCTTTACCTATTTTCTTAAGCATAAGGTCAAGTTCAATTTACCCGCTCTTATGTTGAAACACATGGAGTTCTGTAAATTTAGCAACCGACTCAGTTTACCCTACGGGATGATCCTAAGTTGGATCATGGAAAATAAGGGAGTAGACATAAGTCGGACTAAGGCCAGACCCATGAGTGGGATGGTTTTCAATTCCCAAAACCTCCGCCGCAACGACATCTACCATGTCGGAGAGGGATAGTACATCACCCTCGAAGAAGTTTGTCTGAAGCCCCCGGATAAGCAACGAGTACTTGTAGATTAGTTGGGTATCTCAAACAAGAAAATGAGATGGGCAATGCAAGAAAACGAGGAGCAGGAAGAAGAAAGCGAGCCTAGCCAACCTGAACCCACACAGGGAAGGGGAAACACGGATGACCGAGACGAGAGGTCCACCAACGAGCGCATCCTTCCGCAGCTCATGGATGAGGGATTTTCGTGGATCATGGATGAACTGGATCATGGATGAGGGATTTTCGTCCTTGATTCTCGCGACGAGCTCTTTGGACAGGAGAGTGGCGGCAATCGAGACCATGTTTGGCGCACATGGAGCTTTAAGCTCGGGAACATGAAACCAAGGTATACTCGAATCTCGATCCTTACTTATCTCCTGACCTAGTCGACCCCCCACCCTACACTTGTTAGATAACAAACATGAGCTAAATTTCCCTAAAAAGACCAAACTACGTGACACCTAGGAACGAGGGGAGTGATCTGTGTCTGAGCTTCGGGGACGAAGCACCTTGTAGGGGGGGGGGGGGGAGGATGTAACACCCCGTGTTACGGTCTCCGTACCCGGACTAAATATGAAATTAATTCTGTTAACATATAATTAGAAGGGATTTAATCGGACTAGAATTCCCATTAATTAATTAGTACGGTTCACAATGGATCATGGACCCTTATCCCAAACGAAGTCCCTAATTCTACTAGGAATAGGAAAGATGTGCCTTTACTATTCAGATTCTAGTTAGGGCTCCTGAATCTATATACAGGGGATTAGAGAGCATTTAGAAACCTACCACAATTAATTCTGCCACGCGAGGTATTCCCTAAGGAAGCCTAGCAAAGGAATTCTCCACCAACGAACTTAGAGGAATCCATCAGAGAGAGAGATCTTAGAGAAAAACCTTAGTAGCCAAGGATATTGATTAAGGCTAAGAGGTAAACCATGTCTTACAAAACCTATTTTCCTCGCTATATCTTATTCATTGGCTTTTTGATAATTGTATGTGTAATTCTATGTTTGAGCCTTGATAGAGCCTTGCCTAGGGTTTATATTGCGTTTATTTGATAATCTTGATGTTCTTGATATTGTGATTGATTATATGTATGATATTGTATTTTAATTTTGTCTAGAGCTCGTCCCTAGGGTTTGTATCGTGAATCTCGTTGTTGTGATGTTCTTTGTATATTTGGGGGGGATTATGCATGATCGGGCGTTGAGTCGAGCCTAGGATTTATCTTTAGGACTTTGCATATAGTTTTCTTGATGTTCTTGAGGTTCCGGATGTTCCTGTACCGTTATTTAATTGATGTTGAGTCTTGGCATGCTTAGGAATCGTGTTTGTAACACCCCAGATTTTCAAGACTTTTAAAACTTATATAATAAGAATAGAATCTCATAAAATCCCAAAATACGATACAAGAGTACGGGGTGCTATGCCACACCTGAGCTGGAGAACTCAGATGCACAAGCTAACTAACTAAATTCCGTAATAATGTAAATGGCACGCAGGCCGAAAGGGAAACTATCTACACTACGCCTCGAATCTCTAGCGCGCTCCGGTGTCTACTCATCAGTGCCTGAAAGCCAAATATATCTGTTCAGCGAGAGATGCTGGTAACCCACTCCAACGCGTTGAAATACAATACATATATATATATATATATATATATATATATATATATATATATATATATATATATATATATATATATATATAGAACAAATTGCACTTTTGGTCCTGTGAGTAGTATGGTACTGGCAATTTGAGTACGTGACTTTCAAAACTCCCAATTTAAACCTTTAACTATGCAATTTTTGGCACATTTAGTCCTCCGGGCCAAATTGCCGGCCAATTTTGGCCGGAAAAATTAAAACTATTTTTAATTAATAAATTATGAGGACAATTTGGTCATTTTAAAGTCTTCTTCTTGACCGGAGCTCCATTTTCTTTACTGAGTTTTTACTCACTCAATCAACTTAATGCCACACTTCTCTCTCCCTTCTTCTCATCACTGAAATGATATGCCGGCGCAATGGCGGAGTGAAAAGAACAAGATCAGGGTTGTGTTCAAGCTGCAGTTTTAAATCTCTGGTGGATGTACTTTGTAGGGGTCCTTGAAAGCCGGAGTTGTTGGAGAGGCTTCCATTGATCTTTCGAGTTATGCAGAGGCAACCAAGGTTTCCTATGTGTCTCTTCCCCTCAAAAATTCGAAATCTGGGGCCATATTGCACGTAAATCTAAAATCCCTCTCCCTTCTTCTCATCACTGAAATGATATGCCTTTCTTCGCTTGTTATAATATCATCAATGGTTTGGTATTGAGCTCTTATTTAGGTATCGATAAAGAGGGTTCAGGATTCTACAGTCCAGAGGTGCTGGTCAATTTCAAACTCTCGATGCAGCTGTTTCTTTAGGAATTCGATTTGAGTGTTTAATCCTGAATCACGTTTTTCTTCTCTGTTTTTCAGTACCATTGTAGAAAGTGAACATGCATAACTTAACCTTCAGGATAGGAAGTTTAAGCCTCAATTTAGCAATGTGGATATGGACGTTTTTCTTCTCTGTTTTTCTTCTCCGTTTCACCGTCTTCTTCATCGAAAAAATCGGGAGATTTAACATCCAGGTCGTCAGATTCATCATGATGTCGTTATTCATGGCGATCATCGGAGTCAAGTACGATTACCTCAAGGATCCGGAGAATCGATGGACGTTCGCGACGCTTTACGGGCTGACGTTTTTCTTCGCGATCCTGAGAATCGATGTCGTTATTCATGGCGACGCCCTTAGTGAAGAAGAAGACTTTAAAATGACCAAATTGTCCTCATAATTTATTAATTAAAAATAGTTTTAATTTTTCCGGCCAAAATTGGTCGGCAATTTGGCCCGGAGGACTAAATGTGCCAAAAATTGCATAGTTAAAGGTTCAAATTGGGAGTTTTGAAAGTCACGTACTCAAATTGCCAGTACCATACTACTCACAGGACCAAAAGTGCAATTTGTTCTATATATATATATATATATATATATATATATATATATATATATATATATATATATATATATATATATATATATATATATATATATACGAAAACCATTTTGAACATGAAGATATATCCTACGAACTCTAGCCTTTAAAACAGGGATAGACTCAACAGATAGGGCTAAACACAGACAGCAGTTATACCAAGCATATACAGTTTACAACAGGCAAGACAGATAAGATAAGGACAATTAATAATCATAACCCAACATATACGATTCCCAATATGAATCCCATAGTCACATCCCCAAGGCACTCATAACAACAACTCCTCCATATCTCATCACATAGCACACTTTGTTGGCGCCACAGGACCAATCGCATGCCCATACATGAGGGTCAGCGCATATAGCTCTGACACGGCCCCGCAGCACCCTGCCCCGTATCGCAACACGGAGGGGTCGATCGCAACCGACCGATGAACCGTAGCTCTTCATAGTTTGATCGCAACCAAACAGTGGACCGCAGCCCAAGAGTATGTCATCTGACCGCAGCTAGGAAATATGAACCGCAGCTCGTGTAGAAACGTTTGATCGCAACCAAACGGTGGAACGCAGCCCGAGAGTGTAAATCTGACTGCAGCCAGCTTTTGAACCGCAGCTCAGGAATAACCAATCCGATCGCAACCGAATTGGGGTTTCATGCACACATAACACATAGCAAGCACATGCAACCCACATAATCACAATGGGAAGGGGGAGAAAACGTATAACAAAACCTATGCGTGACCCTTCACATACTAAGAATAATCCTAAGGGGTTCATACTTCTTTCACCTAGGTCAACGGGATACCAATTCAACTAGCATGCAATATATAAGACTCATACAACCTACGAACGGTACCCGAAATATCAAACTAGACATAGGCACGATAGACGGAGTCCAATGGGACACCACGGGGGTCGGGGGAACATCAAACGGGGAAGCCAAAATCCCAAATTGGGTGCAAACCAGCGGGTAGCCGGTGGGTGAGGCATCACCCGCTGGCGGCAGCTAATCTGGGCAGCGGGTGCCCGGTGGGCAGCTGCCCGCTGCCGGCGTTGCCCAAGAAGGCCGCGGGTAGGTGGCGGGTCCCCTACCCCCACCTACCCCCCACCGACTCTTTTTCATCAAGAACGCCGCGGGAACCTTTGTGGAACCCGAAACCATGCTTAGACACTTTCAAACGCAATTGATAACGCACGCAGACATATGGCACATAACCTATCATGCTTTTCAAAACATAATCAATCACCCAATCATGTGAATTCCCACCCAATATACCAAGAATAATTCATACGATACAACCTAGGGTTCTAATCATTTTTAAATCAACAAGGACACAATTCATCTTCTAATATCAAGATTCGGTAAGAATATCACATAAACATCGAGAACATCCTACAATCATCAAGGACATCATATAATCATCAAGAACGTCATATAATCATCAAGAACACCATAATTATCAAGAACCTTTCATCATCAAGATCACCCATGGAATCATCCCATCAATCATCAATAATAATATCACAAATCATCAATACACAATAACAGGGGGAAATCCTAAGAGGGAAATCATAGCTATGAAAATAGGTTTTGTTGAGACATGGGTTACCTTTTAGCCTTAATTAATTCCTTGGCTATGAAGGGTCTTTCTTGAAGCTTTCTTCTTTCTTGATTTCTCTTAGGGGAATTCTTGGAACTTCTTGTGTGGTGGGGGATTATTGTGGTGGGGGGGTTCTAGGTGCCTCTTGAGTCTCCTATTTATATATTTAGGAGTCCTGATTATGAACTAATATTATAGGCTTGCTAATTCTATTCCTTTTGGGACTAAGGATTGGGTTTAGGGATAAGGGCCCATGGACTATGGTGGGCCTTTCCTAATTAATTATTGTGATTTAATTCTTTCTTTTGGGTAATTTGTTAAATTATTAATTGGTTTTAGGGATCGTAACACGGGGTGTTATAGTGTTAGAACGTATTTGGAATGATTCTTGGTTTAATTCCCGTTAATTGAATCCGTGGTATTGTTGTTGTGTGTTAGAATGTGTCTGGACATGGTTTTGGGTTCCACGAGAGATCCCGAGACCGAAATGTTGCATGTGTATCAGTGAGGGGTAGGTGGGGGGATGAACAGCCGCCACCTACCCGCTGCCCGTTGCCCTCTTTCCAGCGGGCAACCGGCGGGCCCGCCGCGTTCGGGTGGTCCTCCACCCGCCCCCCACCCGCTGGAAAATTGGTGTGGGTCATGATGTTTTCCCCCGTTTGTTGTTTCCCCATGTCCCGTTATGTCCCGTTGTACCGTGTTGGTCGTGAATGAGTCTCGTTTGATGTTTTGAATACTGTTCTAGGAGTCTATGTGTAGTATGTGTCGTTGTTGTTGATTGATTATGTATTGATTGGTTGAATGATGATGAGTATCGTGGTCATTGCGCAATGACTGGTGTGACTAATGATGTTGATGATGATGATGAGATTGTGATTGGTCGAAATGAATTGCTGGTAGATGACACTGGGAAATGAATTGCCCAGTCATTGTACTAAAGGTACAGACCTAGCGGTTACTGTGCTGAAGGCACAAACCCACCTTCGACTAGCTTGCCTTTGAGCATGGGTCAAGTTATAAGTGCTGCGGTGCCATGTCGGGGCTATATGTGCTGACCCCTTGGTATTGGTACTAGAGGTACTAGAGTTCGTAGGATATATCTTCATGTTCCCGGTCTCCGGGCTGGGATAGTTGCGCCCATTCTTAACCAGTTCCGGAAGGGTTCGCTCATGCTGGAGGGAGCGGTCTCCCACTTCCGTTACTCCTTCTTTCGGGTTTGTCCCTAAATTCCCCGTTTGGTAGAAGTTGGCATTACTGGTGCAGGCTTCGTTGGGTGTGCGGGGTTTGCTTACAATTAGGGCTTTCTGGGTTTCGTAGTTGTGGTCTGTCACAGACTTCTTTATCTTGGTTGTCTCTGTAGGATCTAATTCAGGCGCGAAACGAGCCAGCTGGAGGGATCGTTTGTGGTATTCCCTGATGGTGGTCATCCCTTGTTTTAGGTGGAGGATTTTCCTCGTACATGGTTGCCCTTACAGGTGCGGGGTGGAATCGTCCCCGTAGCCGTGCCCCTAGGCACTCCTAGTTGAACCCCTGGTTGTTGCAGATAAGTGGGTTCTTCGTGGATTTATCAAAGATCAGCCTCGTGTCTTGAAGTGGAATGAGGCTATCCCTACGCGGCGTTCCTCTGGGTATTCCACTAACCCAAGGACTTTGTTGAAGGTTCGGGTTCATTCTTCGAGGAGTGTGGGATCCTTGACTGTCTTCTTGTTGGCGCCATGCTGCTGGTTTTCAGGGTCAATATTTATTGTATCGATGAGTCAGTGTGCTGCACACTTACCTTGGTGTGGTAAGCGTAGGGGGAAGTTATTTTAAGGTAGAGAGGGATAAGGTGAGGGGAGGTTACGTGTAGGTTTCACAATCTCACCGCGCGTCCTAAGATTCCTGAATCCTATGTTCCTAAGTACCTAGAGTTCAAGCCTAATGTCCTAAAGTCCGGTCTTAAGAGTCTTATCCTAGGGTCAAACTTAGGCTCTAATACCAACTGTAACACCCCAGATTTTCAAGACTTTTAAAACTTATATAATAAAGATAAAATCTTATTAAATCCCAAAATACGATACAAAGAGTACGGGGTGCTATGCCACACCCGAGCTACAAAACTCGGGTGCACAAGCTAAATTCTAAAACCTCAATCAGTATCAATACTAAATCATGGCACGCAGGCCGAAAGGGAAAACTATCTAAGCTATGCCCCAAGCTTCTAGCGCGCTCCAGTGATCTACTCGTCTGTGCCTGAAAGCCAAATATATCTGTTCAGCGAGAGATGCTGGTAACCCACTCCAACGCGTTGAAATACAATACATACATATATCTATATATGTATATATATATATATATATATATATATATATATATATATATATATATATATATATATATATATATATATATAGATATACGAAAACCATTTTGAACATGAAGATATATCCTACGAACTCTAGCTTTTAAAACAGGGATAGACTCAACAGATAGGGCTAAGCACAGACAGCAGTTATACCAAGAATATACAGTTTACAACAGGCAAGACAGATAAGATAAGCACAATTAATAATCATAACCCAACATATACGATCCCAGGTACAAATCTCATAGTCTCATCCCCAAGATACTCATAACAACAACTCATCCATACTTCATCACATAGCACACTTTGTTGGCGCCACAGGACCAATCGCAAGCCTATACATGAGGGTCAGCGCATATAGCTCTGACACGGCCCCGCAGCACCCTGCCCCATCTCACACTACGGAGGGGTCGATCGCAACCGACCGATGAGCCGCAGCTCTATATAATATTTATATACCTGACCGGTCTTTACCAGCCTGGTTAACAGTTGGGATGGTTCTCAACCCATTCAACTGC